TATATATATATATTTATAATATAACACACACTCTTCACATATACACACATACTGATGCATACTCTCACAGCAAGATTCATGCATACACACACACAAGCAGGTACACACACAATGATATATATGTACATACTAACTCACCCACACTTTTACTCAAACACAAACATGAACAAGTTTCCTTGTGCATCAACACGCAACTGTTCTTCAATTTCAACAACATACAGAGTATAAACAGCTAAAAAAGAGCATGCATAATCATATATACACTGAGAATATACGTAATCAATTCAAACATCACCATTGGCACCCTACGCTTAATTAAATTTAAAACTGTAAATCAATCTAAGTGATTTAATGGTCAACCTTCGATCAAACGATTACGGAGGAAGTTTGAGTATCCTTACTAGAGTCAGAAGTTGATCACATTGTCCCAAGCAACCGTTGTCACGATTCACACCTCCTCATCTCGGGTTGGGGGTTTTTGGCCAATTTTTAAAGGTTTATCATTAAAACAATGGTGAAAAAGAAAATGGTAAAGAAAAATGTAGAAAAATGCTTATCGACGGTTGGTTTGGCGTCTCTGATATGGCAGTCCTTCCTTGCTCCACTGTCTGCTGCTCTCCTCTAGCATCCCCTTCTTTCTTCTCCACTCACCCTCTGTCGGTTAGGGTTTTTGAGGCCGACAAGAGTGAGGCTTAAATACCCCTTCCCAATTAATCCCAATCATCCATCGAGCTTGTGGGATGCGTGGAAGCCGTCCGATCAGGGGTTCATTAAGGGTAATCTTGACATTTCCCTTCGTGAGTGCTTCTGACCGTCAGATCATGTTTTTAACATATTTGTGCAATCCATCACACAGTTCATTGGATTAATCCGTGATGAAATCAAGGTCGTGCACTTTATAACATGCAGATCACCAGCGTGATGGTCATGCGTGGAACATCTATTGATGCAGCTATTACACGGTGCGGTCTTATTGGCCGTGTCACTGAGTCAGCCATCTCGCGTGGCTTGCTTTCCCCAAAAGTTGCAGGGTGACCCCTGGTCACCCAAAATCCTTACTAACGAAGAATGATGAAAAGGAGAATGACAAAGAAAAATGGAGAAAATTCTTACTAGCGATTAGTTTGGCGTCTCTGACACAATGACACCGCCTTACTCTACTGTCTGCTTCTCTCCTCCTGTGTCCTTTTTTGTGTCAGTTAGGGTTTTTGGGGTTGACAAGAATGAGGCTTAAATACCCCTCCTTGATTAATCCCAAGTGTTTGATCGAGCTTGTGGGGTGTGATGGAAGTCGTCTTATTAGGGGGTCATTAAGGGTAGATCTTGACATTTCCCTCCGCGAGTGCTCTTGACCATCAAATTGCCTTCCCAATATATTTGAGCCATTCTTCTTGCGAACCATTGGATTAACCCCTGATGAAATCAAGACTGTCCACTTGATAACACACGAACTGCCAGTGTGGTGGCCACATGTGGAGCATCCGCTGATGTGGCTATTACGCAGTGTGGTTTGATTGGCCGTGTTGCTAAGTCAGCCATACTACATGGCTTGCTTTCCCCAAAAATTGCAGAGTGAACCTTGGTCACCCAAAATCCTTTCAGATGGGTCCATTTTAATTATAAAATAGACCTAACTTCAAGATTTTATTCAAAAAATGTCCTAAATTGATTATTTTAATTATTTTTCACATTTTTTTGTTGATTTTAATATTTAATTTAACTAATCTATTTATTTTTTAATTTTAAATGCACATAAATAATTTACACTTATTAAACGATGAAATTAAATTATTTCCAAATCCTAGATATTACAACTTAAGTTTGGCCTAATCCTCATCAGTTGGCTGCAAGAAATTTCATTTGGAGACTAGTGATTAGTTCTTTGCTGAGGCCTTATCGGTAGCAATTGAGCTAGTTAGTTGAGTAATAGAGGTACATGGACAACAAGTAAAGGGTTTGAAGTAGAAAAGATATGTCAAGCATTAGGTTTGGTACGAGTGGAGCGTCTAGCAGGAGTGGAAGAGTTAAGGGTCATAATAGGGGATGGAAAAAAGTAAATGGGTTAAAAAGAGGGGAGACTAATTTGTTAGGTGTTTAGTTAGGCTTGTTTGTATGAGAGGTCATGAATGGTAGAAATAGGTAAGCTTTTGGAGCTTTAGAAGAATGATGAAGAGGTCTTTTCACTAGGTTTGCCCTAAAGAAGAAGTAAGGTTTAGAGGGGTGAAGTAGCACAAGAGAGACTAATCATAGTAAAAAGATATGGTGACAATGCAATGGTTACTAGAGTGGAGAGGGAGTCTGGTAGAGAGAGGTCAAGGATAATGATAAGCTAGGGGTAGCTTAGTTGAGGGAGGGAGTCAAAGTAAGAAGAGTATGAGGTTTTACGAGTTGGGAAGAAGGGGAAAAAGTGATATAATTTGTCTTACTAACTAATAGAGTTGGGGAAGTAGATTGATTTGAGGTACAAGTAGCTAGGGAATAGATAAGACAATCAAAATATGTAGGGCGAGCTGTAGCATTAAATTGTGCATGGAAAATATGAACTACGTGGAACAACTCATAAATTTAAAAATATTTAAGAATTAGAAAGATAAAGATTGATAACTAATAGAGGAATTAATTTACTAATTATTTAATTGTGTATTTTTGTAATTATTGTGAATAGTTTGATTGACAACAAATCTCACAAATTAGGTGATTAATAGCAAATTTCGCAAATTACATAATTGGTAGTAAATCTCATAAATTAGGTGATTGATTAGAATTAGTATGTTTGATTGACCTTTAATTAAGAACGTATGTGTATATATACCTAACTTTTATTCAATGAAAATTAAGGCATTATTTTTAATTCCATATGGTATTAAAGCAATTGTTGGAAGTCTCTAATACTTGTGTCTCACTCGCCTTGATATTACATATTGTCTAAATTCATGCATCAATCTACTACTAATCATTGAAATCTTGTCAACTGTTGGTTTTGCTATCTTTAAGATATAGTTAATAATGGTCTTGCCTTGCACTGTCATACATATTTATTTTTTCATGCCTTCTAAAATGCTGACTAGGTTGGTAATAAGGACGATTACACCTCCAATAATGTTTATATTGTTTACCTCAGTCGCAATCCAATATCATGGTACTCTAAGAACAACACATGATTACAAGATTGTCTACTGAAGCTGAATATCATTACGTTGCTACTAAAGCTGCTGAGTTACGTTAGATTTGTTCTCTTCTAATTGAGCTTGACATTTGCATTTATACTGCTCCAGTTATCAATTGTGATAATGTTGGTGCAAGTTATCTTTATTCCAATCATGTCTTCCATCCACATATGAAATATGTCACTATTGATTGTCATTTTCTTTGGGATCAAGTCCAAAGTGGAGCTTTAGTGTGACTCATGTGTCCTCAGAAGATCAATTAGCAGATATCTTGACCACACTCGCTTTCAACTTTTAAAGACCAAGATTGGGCTCTCCACAGGAGCTGCAACTTGATATGCATATTATAGGAATTAATTTAGTAATTAGTCAATTGTATATTTTCATAATTACTGTAAATAATTTGATTAATAATAAATTTTAAAAATTAGTTAATTGACAATGAATATCATAAATTAAGTGATTAACAAAAAGTCTCATAAATTAAGTAATTGATTAGAATTAGAATTAGAATATTTGATTAACCGTTAATTAAAATTGTATGCATCACCTTTATTCAGGAGAAAATCAAATCATAATTATCAATTCCATAATAACTACTTTAAAAATAAAAAATAAAATATTGGCTATATATGTTTAGAAATAGGTATTATAATGCATGTAACTTTTTCTTTTTCTAAAAAAATGAATTGTTATTTTATTATGAAATTCCAGATTCTTTAGATAAAAATATTTATTAGTATAATTTGTTTAGGTAGCTGTATTTAAAATTTTAAACTAATTTATTGATGTAGTTATATATAATTAATAGGTATTTGAAATATTCTATATAACCTAATAATCTCACTAATAGATATAGGAAAAATTACATTCAAGAAGATCGACTAAAACATGCAGGCAAACCAAAATCATAAATCAATTGCAAGTAGCCATGGTAATAATATATAACTATAAATTAATTGCTAACTAACTATTCTAAACTAAATTTAGAAACTTTTGTAGTATATTAAATTATTTGATTGGTTAAAAATTAAAAAGTAGAAGCTTCTTATGAAGAGAAGATTAAATGAAGAGTTAAAAATAAATATTTTGAGAAATAACTAAGTTATTCTCTCTCGTATATGTTAATTAATACTCTAAGTTAAGAATAAATTTAAATAATTTTAACAAATATTATTCTCTCTCGTATATATATACATTCAGATAATCATTAATGGTATAAAATTGAGTTTATCTTGATTGAATGCTATCAATACAACATAATATTAGTAGTTATCAACTCAAATAAAGTTATTGATATAAGTTATCTAATAAAAATATATATTAATTATAGTAATTATTTTAATCACTATATATTTATTATAATTGACTATTATCATGTAGAATGTCTATAATTTGAACACTTATTTTTATACAAATAAATGGAAATATTAAATTATTAAAAAAATAAATTTTAATTTATGTCCTTCTATATAAATAAGTGATAATTATGTAAATTAAAAAATATAAACTGTAAGATTTTATTTTTGTTCATAATTAAATATTATTATATTACTAAAAATATTTTGATATAACTCAAACATACAATACAAGTATTAAAAAATACAGTTTATAAAAAAAAGAAAAAAAAAGATTCACTTCTTTTAATATTACATATAAAAGGTTATAAAGAAAATCATATATTATTTTCTTCAAAAAAAGGAAAAAAATCACATCTTTCCTATTCTCAATCCAAAATAATAATAATAATAATAATAATAATAATCCTGAAAGCTGACTCATCTTTACCATTTATATAATTAAAAATGGAAATTGATCAAAACTCTAATTTGTTGCCCATGTTTTTCTAAATCCCCAAATAGCTTTCATTTATCGTCATAAATATTACCAATCATCTTTTAAATTAGAATATTATATAAATATTTTTTTAGCCTTTAATTATATATAATATATTTCATATATATTCCCCAGTAAATTAGACCATTTACTATATAAAATATTGTACTGCGAATGACCACAAGGAAATAATATTCAAATTTAATTTAATTTAATTAATTTTAGTCTTGTAATTAAAAAAGACTAAGTAATAATTAATATCTATTCAATAATCAAGATTAGCAAGTAAACGCATATGATTAAATTTGGTAACAGCAACTGAAGGAGGTAAATGTGGATCTTAATTATAATTAATAATTTATCAAA